AATTTTTAAAGAGATAAATAAATTACATTGAAGAACAAAATGATAAAATAGTAGATGCCAATCAGAAAACATGTTAAAAACAAGAAAATAAAATTTCTAGCATTTCCTATAGTAGCTGCTTAAGTGTTCATATCTATAAAATCCAATGTTGAAAGATGCCTTTTACCTAATTACATCAAGAAGAAAGTAAAACTTATAAAATTTACTACAAAATTGAATGGTTATTTAAAACTATATATGGTATGGTATTTGTCATATATTTACGAGATACTTGAGTTTTCCTGAAAAAAAATGTTATAATAATGCCAATATTTCATGCAGTTTTAATATTAAGTAGCACATTATAAAGAAGCTGATTGTATGAAAATGTAAGCTATTTGGCTCTTGTAGAGTCTATAATCATAATTATTTTAAACAGATACTAGGCTTCCTAAACTTGACAAGCATGTTTACCTATTGCTCCCTATGCTTAAATAAAATGACATTCAAAAGTAAAGTCGGATATCCTTTTAAAATTGGGATCATTTTATTTTAAGGGAACTAGAAATCATATTAAGCAATCCAAAAAAATTATATTTAAATTTTATTTAAGACATATGATGATTCTTTTAAAAGTTGTCATTTTTCTGTACATGTATGACATGAGATATGATGGAAATTAAAATATTTAAATTTAAATGCAATGAAACTCTACTTTGAATTTTACCTAATAGATAAGTTTGCCTTGGTGACATATATTCATAACACATAAATTTAAGGGTGGATAATTAAATTGCAACAGGAATTTGTCTCTTTTATTGAGTACAGAAATATTGTTTCTGCTGTATTTCCCCCAAAATAGCAATTATTTCCTTGAGTTGGTTTTTCTTAAATAAAAAATTTTGAAAAAATATTCAAACATGCTAAATACACACTGGTGATTCGTGTGATTTATTACATACCTCATTTTATAAAACTAAGGAATTGTCTTTCTCCAGGAATTATGCATCATAAAACTTAAGGAACAAATTTGCTTGTAAATGATGCATGTTATTTAGTGATTCTATGTACTTTTATAGATTTTTTAAATGTTACTATTTTTACATAACACTAATCGGTGCTTTCACAATAAAACTTGTTACATTTCTACATGTACTAGAAGAAATGAATATGTAAAACATTACTTCCAAATTCCAAAACCATATCCAACATACTTTATTTTTCTAGTTTCCATGTCTTCCTGCATTTAGATTTGTGATTTCTTTCAGAAATTAGTGGTTTTCTTCAATTCAAGTATCTTAAAGTAAATGATACCGTGCTAAACACTAAATATAACTCTGCCTAAAGCAATGAGACAAAACATATTATATCACAATTAGAACTATTTAACAATGTTCAGAAAACCAACATGAAATTTAGATTATGATTGACAACATTAAATTTAAAAGATTAAATTAAAAATTTAAAATACATGCAGTCTTTCATAATTCCACTTGCTTTCTGCATACATCCACATTTTATGAAATTCTAATAATTTTTTTCTTTCTTTTCCCTTTTTTTTATTTTGTGAGGAGTGTTACAATTGGGAAGACATTGACCACTTCTCAAATTCAAAAATTCTAACTGGACGTCCTTTTGTCTACCTGTTTTAAATCCAAAATTATTCCACAGTTACTTTATAATGAAGCAAATAGAAAATAATTACTTTCAATTACTACATTTGCATTTACATTCCCTTTGAAGGTAATTTTTTTTTATAAATATGGGCATTTTCAAAATTTTATAGTTGAAAATTGCCTCCTTTCCATGTCTAACTGGGAGATGGGCAGGCACACTAATGCAAGATAGTTCTATAATGAAATGTTATACCATATGTTATATTT